TTGACCCATATTTCAATTTTGCTATTTAGCCTCTCTCTCTCTCTCTCTCTCTCTCTCTCTCTCTCTCTCTCTCTCTCTCTCTCTCTCTCTCTCTCTCTCTCTCTCTCTTATTCGCAGCCCTAAGGCTGCGGTCTAATGGGGTTCCGCGTCTGTGTCAAGGTGTCGCATTTTCGGAGGCGGGCAACCAAGACGCAAAGTGGGTTGTTAGGGGGGAAACAAAATTGGGGGACCAGTCCTTGACGAAATTGCAGACTACCTACAGCTAGCTCGGGTAGAACCGGGACTTTTGGAAAACGGAAGGACCGGTCCTCGGGTGGAAGTGGACCCCAAAAAGAAGTAGGGGGCGTTGGACCGGTCCCCAGGTAGAAGCGGACCCCAAAAAGAAGTGAGGGCATGTGAACTGCAAAAGGGCACTCAGGCCCAGGCATTGAGCCCCGTCTTCTCAAAACAGGGAGGTCAGACACAACGAAATAGGCTTTTTGCAAGAGGCAACTTTGCCGATTTTCTGTGCTCGGACGAACATGCACAAAAATATGAAATGTTGAGAATCCATGGATGAGGTCATGTTCTTTCCATAAATAATAATGAAACATTTTCAAAAAATCATTTACACTCCGAAATAATTGTCGCGCCAAGTCGGCACATTTTCCATTTTTGCCACTCAGCCATGCCTGGGCCAACTAAAAAAGTGCTTCAAATTCAGTGAGTTTTCACGCTCAGAAGAATGCGTGAAAAAACCTGAAAATTGGAGTACTCGTAGATTTTGTTGTGATCTTTCCAGAAAAAACGCTAAATAAATTTAAAAAAATCATTCCAACTGCAAAATAGATCGCGGCCGCAATTTAACCCATATTTCAATTTTATCATTCAGTCTCTCTCTCTCTCTCCATCTCTCTCTCTCTCTCTCTCTCTCTCTCTCTCTCTCTCTCTCTCTCTCTCTCTCTTGTGTTAGCTCTTAGTCTCATTGACTTGGCTACCTTAGGGCTGCGTTCCCCGCGCCCACGCGGTAGACAATCAAGGTGTCTCATTTTCGGCGGTGAGCGACCAGGATGTAAAGTGGGTCATTAGGGGGCAAAACAAATGGGGAACCGGTCCTTGGCAAAATTGCGGACTACCTACAAATAGCTCGGGCAGAACCGGGAACTTTGGAAAAAGGACGGACAGGTCCTCAAGTGTAAGCGGACCCCAAAAAAAAGTGGGGGGCGTTGGACAGGTCCACAGGTGAAAGCGGACCCTGAAAAGAAGTCATGGCATGTGAACTGCAAAGGGCCCTCACGCCCAGACGTTGAGGCCCGTCTTGTCAAAACAGGGAAGTCAGGCGCAACGAAACAGGCGTTTTGCAAAAGGCAACTTTGACGATTTTCTGCGCTCGGAGGAACCCGCAGAAAAATCTCAAATTTTGAGAATCCATAGATGAGGTCGTGTTCTTTCTAGGAAAAATATTAGAACATTTTCAAAAAACCATTTAGATCTCAAAATAATCTCCGCACCAATTTGACACATTTTCCATTTTTGCCACTCGACCATGTGTCGGCCAACTGAAAAAGTACTCCAAATTCAGTGAGTTTTCACGCTCAGAAGAACGCGTGAAGAACTTGAAAATTGGAGTACTCGTAGATTTTGCTATGATCTTTCTAGCAAAACCCCTCTATGAATTTACAAAAATCATTCCAACTGTGAAATAGATCACGGCCGCAATTTGACCCATATTTCAATTTTGCTATTTAGCCTCT